ATCGAATTTCACAATAAGATGCGACAGTTTCATCTTAAGCCTCTAATCTAAACACAACTGATGGCCGAGGTTCTTTGGATCAGATTTAGAATTAAGAAGTCAGTCCTATTTTGACCGAGACCGCGAACGGTTGACAAAAGTATTTAAGAAAAAACCAAAAGTGTCTTGTAATTTTGCGTTTAATAAATAAAGGTTTAACACCAAGTTGTGAAATTAAAAAATAAAATTTTCATTTTTTTAATTCACCGAACTTGTTTATTTATTTAATTGAGGAAATGATCGTGCAATATAACATCGACGGAGTTAGTGGGAAGAAGAGATTGAAGGCGTTTCTAAATTTTTATGGAGTTTTGATCGGTATGTATTTTAATTACAAATAATGTAAACAATATCTAATTTCTATTTATTTTATTTACAGATAGTATATCCAAAGTGGTTCCGGGGACCTCGGCTGAGAAAGTGTTGGGGCACGCTTTGGCGGGCATCAAAAATAATAATAATAAAAAAAAAAATTAAAATAAGTAAATAAATAAAATAAGTAGAATAAATCTTTGTATATAAACTTTGTAAAATAAATTGTATTTATAGATTATAACAATTAATAATTTCTTATATTAATAAAATTTGTAATAAAATAATAATTTTGGTTGGAAAGGTGGGGGGGGGGGGGTGAAAATCCTTACAGTTCCTCAGTGAATCTCTTATGAATCCCACCTATTTCTTGTAAGATTCCTCAGAGAATACCCCAGGGATTCCTTGGGATATTTCCTCAACGATTCCTCAGAGTATACCCCAGGGATTCCTTGGGGTATTTCCTCAACGATTCCTTAGAGTATACCTCAGGGATTCCCTGGGGTATTTAGTCCGAAATGCTCTTCGAATAACTGCAGGAATCGTGCAGTATTCCTTGAGTTGTTCGAATTCCTCGATGTGAGGAACTCTTCTATGGAAATTCCTTGATGGTTTGTATGAAACATACCTAGAGGATTCCTCGGGTGGCAATACTAGTACCTAGACGTTTCCTTGAGTAATCCTTGAGGTATGGTACTGAAGGGTAGGCTTTGAGCATGACGTTTCACACATTCATACTGTGTGTGTGTGTGGCAGATCTCGGGCAGAGAAATTTCCTATGCCCCCGAGATAGGGCCGTGCCGACCTTTGCCATAGTCCAATTGAAAATTTTTTTTAGCAGCTTTCCGTATATATATTTTATTTAGTAATACCAGTTCCTTTAAGACAAATTTTCCAACTATGTCTAAATTTAGGGTATTAATTATTTTCCAAATCCTTAATACTATTTTTAATATCCTTAGTATTTTCTTTATATCCCAAGTCATTTTCATTTTATACAATCTATCGAAAGAGCTGAAAGATAAATAAAAAAAAGAAAAACATCGAAGTCCTAAGGATGATTCGAACCTAGAACAAGAAAGGAAAACTAACTTCGGGCGGAGCCGAAGTTTATATACCCTTGCAGCTAAAACCGGATATATATCGCAAACATCGGATATAGTTGGCCGATCCTTATGAAATTTGGTAGGATGGATCAAAATTTAATCTGTACCAAGTTCCAGCTTTCTATCTTCAAAAACACGAAAGTTGGGTCATTTCCGATCGTTCAGTTATATGGCAGCTATAGGATATAGTCGGCCGATCCTTATGAAATTTGGTACGTTGGATCAACTGACCAAAAATAGAATCTGTATTAAATTTTAGCTTTCTATCTTCAAAAAAACGAAAGTTGGGTCATTTCCGATCGTTCAGTTATATGGCAGCTATAAGATATAGTCGGCCGATCCTTATGAAATTTGGCATGTCGTAATGTTTTGCCAAAAATAGCACTCGTGTCAAATTTGAACTCTCTAACTCTAAAAACACCAAAGTTATACCATTTCCGATCAATCAGTTATATGGCAGCTATAGGATATAGTCGGCCGATCCCGGTCGTTCCGACTTATATACTGCGTGCAAAGGAAAGAAGGGTGTGTGCAAAGTTTCAAGACGATAGCTTTAAAACTGAGAGACTAGTTCGCGTAGAAACAGACAGACAGACAGACGGACAGACGGACAGACGGACATGCTCATATCAACTCAGGAGGTGATCCTGATCAAGAATATATATACTTTATAGGGTCGGAGATGTCTCCTTCACTGCGTTGCACACTTTTGAACAAAATTATAATACCCTCTGCAAGGGTATAAAAATTGTACAGAGATCAATTACTCTACGCATTAGGCTACCACCCTGACTCGATCGGCGCGGAACAAAAGCACTATTTGTTCTACTACCACATTGAAGTATTGTAAACAGAAACGATGAGAAATTGAAAATGAAAATTGGAAACCAAAACAATTTTACGCCGTCGTGCGAGCAGTCACACATACATACATAGGTTCACATTTTTGTTGACGGAACTCTTTTGTAAAGAGTTCTAAAAATAGAATCGTATGCATGTGCGTTCCCCCCTCACCAACAAGCTCGACGCAAAAAGTTGACCGTTTTGGGCCCTGATGTCCCATCTATGTACTTTATAATCTTTGGTTGAGGCGGCGATGCGGGGACAGTGACTGAAACTCCCATCCACTTGAGCCGCTGGGGCTCCTTGTGATACCGCACAGGCAGAGGTCCTACAAGAGGACCTCTCCCTTCCTATCTACTGATGTGCCCAAGAGTGTGCTATCCTTCCTGCGGCGGCTCGCGGTTCCATCCCTGAATATATTTGTAAAAAATTTTTGAATCTCTTTTAGCTTAATTCAACATTTTATTATTATTATAATAAACTAGAATAACAGTTAATAAAAATGTAAAAAAAATCAAAAAAAAAAAAATATATATATGTATATGGTATTTTAGGTGAGGTGCCGCTCAGCTGGGGATAAGAGCGCATCCGCGCTGAAGAGCTCACCCGCGCTAAAGAGCGCACCCGCGCTAAAGAGCTCACCCGCGCTAAAGAGCGCACCCGCGCTAAAGAGCGCATCCGCACTCGTCCCTCTGTGCACTCTCTCTCGCTCGTTGGTTGTCGTCGATCGTCTCTTTTTGTACTAGTTTAAGTTATAAATCCTCTGTAAGCAGCCCAATAAAGCTGACCGCGTTATTTTCTGAATTCACCGAAAGACACCCCCGACTTCTTAATTCAATATTTCTCGGATCTCTTGCGGTAGCAACGCCCCCCTACACAATATATATAAATATATTATAATATATTATATGGCAGCTATAGGATATAGCTGTTCCAAAGTTCCAATTTCGTCAGACAGACGGACACCCAGACAGACGGACATGCTCATATCAACTCAGGAGGTGATCCTGATCAAGGGTGATCCTTTATAGGGTCGGAGATGTCTCCTTCACTGCGTGGCACACTATTGACCAAAATTATTTTGACCAAAACTTTTGACCCTCTGAAAGGGCAAATAAAATTATATAACCAATACCTTAAGATTTGCATGAATTCGTGTGATAATTCCCTAGCACATACATGAAAAAATGCCCAAGGTCACGGAAATTGGAATCCTATACAAAAGACCTTGACGATTAAAATATACAGTCAATAGGTAATTTCTTTTGTGTAGTGAACAGGTATTAGTGAGTTCCACTGTTCCCCCATACCGGTACTGAAGGGTAAATATAAATAAAATAAATACTGATCCCCATACAGACGTGTTAAACTTTTAAATGCGTGAACCACGACTTCGGATTTGAAACTTGAACTCCTATAACATCCACGCTGATCTATTTTTTGTCAAAATTTTGCCACGCCCACTCCCGTTCCCAAAATGGAAATATTGTTGTAGCGCCAGTTTAAGCAGTTCAAACTATTCCAATACCTAATCCTTACCTAATTGAGCCTAATCGTAAAATTATAGGAGTTATAGGCTTTTTGCCTACTGAAATGCTTCGGCTGTGTCTTTCCAAAGCACAAAATAATGAAAGCACAAACAATGTTTTAGGAAAATCCGTACCGCTTAACTTTAGTCAAAGTGTAGGAGGAAGAAATCATTACTGGTAAACTCGACTATAGAAGTCCTTTCTTGATTATTTTCAACTTTAAAATTAAAAGTTGGCAAATATCTTGTATATTAAACTTTTATAATAAAGATAAAAAATAGGAGTAATTTTTCCATTTTTTAGGTACAAATAAAAAAAAATTCCTCTTATTATTCATTTTTTAAATAAAAATTAAAAAAATAACTCTTATTATTGATTCTGCTTTATTGGCTTTATAATAAAATTATCATAAAGATTGGCCGGTCTTAACTTCAAGGTTATGTTATTTTAAGCTCCGCTTTAAATAAGCTTTCCTTTCTTTTTCTTGTTTATACCCTTGCAGAGGGCATTATAATATTAGTCGAAAGTGTCCTACACAGTGAAGGTGATATGTATGTCCAACCCTATAAAGTACCTGTCCTCTGTCAGTTTTAATGCTATCGACTTTGCACACACCCTTCTTGCACAGAGTATATAAGTCGGAACGATCAAAATCGACTGACTTTATCTTATTGATCGCAAATGACCCAACTTTCGTGTCTTTGAAGATAGAAGCTTGGGAATTTTTTCAAATTGTGTATTCTAATAAATTTTTTTTATTATGAAATACACATAAGGATTGGTCAACTATATCCGATATTAACTGCAAGGGTATATTTTATCAACTTCGACTTCGCCCGAAAGTTTTTTCCTTTCTTATTTCTTAGTCGATTGATTGATAAAGTCTTTAAAAGTGAATTATTGGGCGAAAGCACATTCTAAACTCTTAAGAAACTCACATATAAGCCTTAATATCGAATTTGTAGAGTCAAAAAATATTTGTAGTATACAATTATTTCTGTGTGTGCAGAAAAAAAAAATTCACAAAAACAAACAAAAAAACAAATAGTTGTTTATATACATCGTCAAGTTAAACCGGGCCAAAGCACAAAGCTCAATGCTTGAATTAGGGCTAAAGCCAATCTTGGAAAAAGCTTTGATTTTGAATTCTGCTGGATACATATATACATACGTGATACCTGAATAAGAAAAGGTGTGGCTTCGGAGCCAGTTTTCATTTAAATTTAACTTTCGCTCGATTCGGACTAGTGAAGAACTCGCTACATACTTCAATTGACATACACGGCATAGATATTATCTAATCATCATTTAATCATTATATGAAACATTAGGCCTTTAAAAATGAATGTTTTTTTTTTTATTTTTGCCCTAACAATGACCAGTCCATTAATTATGGCGACTGAAAAGAAAATTGAAAAAGATGAAGCCAGCAATGATGATGAAATAAGAATTTACAAGCGTCTTATTCCGGCTGATGTACTAAGAGGTTAGTAAATGCTTCAAAAAATATTAGTATTCTAGTTTAAAAAACTCTCATGATTCAGTACCAATGAGCTGTATTGTATTAAGCTTTGTATAATGAGTCCTCTTAAAGAGCCTGAATTGCAAATACAACAATTCATAGATTTTACATCTTTAAATATATGTATTTATTTAAATAAATATATAATATAATTGTTAATCTTTTAAATTTTTTTCTTTTTACCTTTATAATTCAGACTAATGAGTCCGTATATTCATTTTTAAAAAATTAATTTGAAATGAAACTTATAATAACATTAAATTATTCTTAGATTTTCCAGGAATGTGTTTTGCATCTACAAGGTGTGCTACGGTCGAGCCTGGAAAGTCTTGGGATCTGACTCCATTCTGTGGCCGCTCTACTTGCGTTCAAAATGAGAACGACACAAAGTAATAATAAAGTCAAAATGTTTATAAAAATAAAAATGTTTATTAAAATTCAACAGGCTTCTTGAACTTGTTGAGGATTGCGGCCCTTTACCACTTGCTAATGAGAAATGTAAACTGGACACTGAAAGAACTAACAAAACCGCTTTATTTCCATATTGTTGTCCCATATTTACGTGTGAACCAGGAGTTAAGTTGGAATATCCAGAAATTGGAAAAAACTCCGGCAAAGAAAATGAAAAATAAAAATAAAGATTTTAAAATGCTTATATTTTTCATAAATATTTTTCAAATATTTAAAAGAAATGTATTATTGTTCATATAATTTTATGTGTTTGTATTACCAGAAAATTATTAAAAATAAAATAGCAAATACTTCCGAAATTTTTCCAATTACATCACGGTTTGTTATTTAAGTTCTGTATATTCACTTGCCGTACCCGGACGTGTTTCTTTGATCGCTCTTGCCAGTTTGCAATTATTTTCGATCTTGAACTCAAGCTTTCTCCTTCTGCGACAAGTGGAAATATAACGATTAATCCCTAAAAATAAATTCGACTTAATAAGTTCATTGAACTATTTATTTCCAATTTATACATTTAATCGGTTAAAGTTATCTCTGTTGCGGTTTAACTATATTCTCCAATATAAGTCTCTCCGAGCTGTACTCTCCGGACGTAACCCGTTACATCATAGTTACTGTGGAGTTTGTTGTTCTTCACGACGCCGAACCTTCGTTGCACATCTCTTTTGTAACGTCATCTCTTACATCCGATCTGATCGTCCACTCTCGGCTACAGAGTGCTTCAGAGAGCCGAAAAAATTTTTTACACGCTATTACAGTGGTCTGCATTCCGTCAAAAAAGAAGTCAAAAATGAGTATTACTTGCACAGCAAAAAAATGTGAGTTTGGTGGAACCATCACGGGTGACTCATACCTGTCTTGTTGGCTCTGCAACAACTGTTCACATATTAATTGTGCTGAAGGAGGACACAATGGACGGATAAGTGACCTTATCAACAAGAAAATTGTCCTGACATGGTCTTGCATTGCTTGTAGAGAAATTGAGTCAGAGACGCGGACTTTTATGAAACAGACGAGAAATGGTTTCCTAGATCGAGAAAGAAAGCTTGAGTTCGCAAGCGATTCTCGGCTCTTAATGAGCAATTCCTCGCTCTTAAAACTCAATTCCTTTGGCTATAGTTGTTAAGCGAATCCCCCAGACGAAAAATTCCGAACAACAACCTGCTGACTGCTAAATTACTGTATACCCCTACATCCCATGCTGTACTAGTCGATTCATTTTCAACACCAAACATTTTACCGTCGCCTACTTGTCTACCTACTTATGCTGTTCCAGTACCAAGGGACTTGATGAGCCTTCCTTCAGGGCACTCTAATATTTATCCCTTGCAAGAAGCGATCAGCGTACCAAGTACAAATCTCGATCCACCTCTCATCTTGGAGCCTCCATCGTTGGACATCGTTGGACAACCTACCCTCTGCTCTAGCTGTGATGTCTCCAAGGCCTCTGGTTGGTGTGGCGCCTGAAGTTAGATCTTCTGGACTTACGCTGAGGGCGGTTGCTCCTCGTAAGGCCATTTTTGTCTCTCGGCTTATGCCGGATGCTACTGTTGATGATGTCAGGAGTCACCTGTTAAACCATCTTAAGGTAGCTCCTGATGAAATAGCTGTTTTTAAGTTTAACTTTAAGCATAAGCGTTCTATTTCTTCTTTTAAAATAGTTCTACCTGATTCCTACCTTGAAAAAGCACTTGATCCTGTAGCTTGGCCTGAGCACAGTATCATTCATGAATTCCTAGCAAAAGACGCTCAGAATCCTAGCCCTGCAGAAACTGCTTCAAAAAACTAAATAACATAGTATTTTCCTGCTGCTATCAAAATGTTAGAAGTATTCTGGGTAAGCTGAGCCAATTTTTTACAAAGAGTGCTTCTTTTGACTTTGATGCTATCGTGCTTACTGAAACTTGGCTTAACTCCTCTGTCTCTGATTATGAAATTCTTGTTTCCAAATTCATAGTGTTTCGATTGGATCGTCCAACTTTTGCAGGTGGTGTCCTCATTGCTGTTAGTAATGAGTACCCTTCTGAAATTATTCCTTTCCCGAACGAGATCGGAATTGAGTTCACTTCGGTGAAAATTTTAGCTGGCTCGTCTCATATTTTCCTGACCTGTTCCTACATTCCTCCCATGGCTGAAGATATTGTGTACTTTCACCATCTTGATGCCATTAGGTCTGTTTTTTCGTTGGTCAAGGACCGTGATTTAATCCTAATCATGGGAGATTTCAACCTTCCCATCATTTCCTGGATCCCGTCTGAGGTAGACAATTCCTTTCTTTCCAGTTGTCATAACGACTTTATCGATGGCTTAACCGATCTTGCCCTGCTCCAAATTAATCCAATTCATAACACTCATGGCAGATTTCTGGACCTTATTTTTTCCAATGTGTCATCCTCTGTGACAGTCGCTCGGTCCCCGCCGCTATCGCTTCCTGAAGACTTTCACCATCCTACACTATTAGCATCGGTGTTAATTGATGTGCCTCTCAATGATGCTTGCTTTAATGTTAAACCTCGTTTCAAATGCTTCAGAAAGACTGATTTTATGGCCCTTCGGAATCATTTAGCTGAAATCGATTGGAATGTTCTTTTATCTATAAACACAATTGAAGCAGCTACGGATTCGTTTTACGAAATAATTCATAATGCCTTGAACAAATTTGTTCCGGAAGTCCCAGTATCATTGTCTACAAAACCACCTTGGTATAATAAACACCTTTCTCGTCTTAAGAACAGGAAATCCAGAGCTTACAAAAAGTTTCTTAAGTCAGGATCGATGTGCCACCAGTCAAACTTTCTTTATGTTCGCAACCAGTTTATTATTCTCAACGATCAACTCTATAAGCAGTATATCAGGAATTGTAAGGTAAACTTTCGTAATGATCCAAGCTCTTTCTACTCTTTTGTCAATATGAAACGTAAATCAAATCTTTTTTCTCCTTCCTTCATATAAAAATATTTCACATTCTTCTGAGCAAAGTATTGCTAATCCCTTTGCGTCATTTTTTCAAACCACCTATTCGTCCGATTCATATAACCACAATTCTTCTTATCCCTATAAATTACCACATATAAACAACATTTACTGTTCAAAATTTTGAATTCAGGATCTGTTTGAAGCTCTTTCAACAATAGATGTATCATTCTCAGCTGGTCCTGACAATGTTACTAGCTGTGTTATAAGCTACTGTTCTGATATCCTTTGCTATCCTCTCACTATCATATTCAACTTATCCTTGGAGCTGGCATGTCTTCCCAAGAGATGGAACGAATCTTTTATTATTCCGCTTCACAAGAAAGGCTCTAAAGCACTTATTGAGAACTACCGGGAGATTACTAAGCTATCTGCGATTCCCAAACTGCTTGAGAAACTGCATGGTTTTCCACTTCACAGCATGGTTTTGTTAAGCATTGCTCTACCACAACTAACCTTCTTGAATTCACTTCGTTTATCCACAGAGGATTTCTGAGCCGCATGCAAACTGATGTGGTATACACTGACTTTAGTAAAGCGTTTGACTCTGTGAACCACCATCTCCTCCTTCATAAGCTGGGTCTTATGGGGTTTTCTCCACATATAGTACAGTGGTTGACCTCTTATCTATCGAACCGCACGCAGCGTGTTTTGTTTAAAAACAGTTCATCACAGATTATAAACGTTTCATCTGGTGTCCCACAAGGTAGTCACTTAGGACCTCTTCTGTTCGTTCTTTTTGTCAACGATTTACCTAGTGTTGTAAACTTTGCTACTACATTTATGTATGCTGATGATGTCAAGTTATGTCTTTCTTTCTCAGACCATTTCCTTCATAGGCACCTGCAACTAGACCTTAACGAAATCTTCTTGTGGTGCTCAAACAATCTCCTTTTGCTTAACTGCTCTAAGTGTAAGGTTATGAGGTTCAATCGCAGTGTGCCTCACATCGTTTCGTACTCTCTTGGGAATAACGTCTTAAATCGTGTTTCCCTAATTAACGATCTTGGAGTCATTTTTGACAATAAGTTGTCCTTCAACAAACACATATCACTAACAGTTAATAAGGCCAGAGGTGTGCTAGCTTTTATCAAACGTTGGTCTAAAGAATTTGATGATCCTTTCACAACTAAAACTCTATACGTATCGTTGGTTCGTCGTATCTTGGAATACTGTTCTATCGTTTGGAGACCGCAATACTTTGTTCACCAAAGGAGGATTGAATCTGTCCAAAAGCAGTTTCTGCTATTTGCGTTAAAAAGCTTAAACTGGGATACTGCCACTTCCCTCCCGTCGTATAATTGCCGGTTAAAACTACTAAACCTACCTCCTTTAAAAGAGCGCCGTACTTGTACTGGGGTTATGCTACTTCAGGTGCTTATTCTTGGACAGGTTGACTCACAAGTACTTCTTGAAAAATTAATGTTTTCTGTGCCTAATAGAGTAACTAGATCCTTCCGACCCCTTTGGTTACCGATTTTTAGGTTTAATTTTGCGGAACACGATCCATTTCGCGTTATTTGTACAAATTATAAATTGTCCCATTTATTATCTACTGAACTATCCCTAGATGTAATTAAATCCAAAATTATGGAATATCTTTTAGCTTAATTTATCCTTACACTTAGTTATAATATTATAGAAATAACAGATCATTGTTAATAATAATAAATAATAATAATCAAATGTATATGTATCGAAACAATCGAATATTGTTGAACTGATTTTTTTTTTAACTCAACAATCCCAATCCGAAGTTTTTGTTTAGAGGTTATTCAAGAAAACTCGATTTTTCTTCGTCTTAACTCCTATAACAATTCTTCAATTGGGATAAATTTTGATTTTTAAGAAAAGATTAGGCGTTGGAATAGTTTGGCATTGGAAAATTTTTTTAACTTATGAATAAACTGGCTTTAGAATTGTTCTATCTCTTGTAATCTGCGAAATACACGCTTTCAAAAATGTTACACGTTTCTATTGAAATTGGTATAAAAATGACTAAAACTTCTTTACAAATAGGCGAATATATATTTTGAATATGTGTTCCAAGTATAAATAATCAAAGGAATAGGAAGCAAATCAAAACTTTTTCATAATTGGTTCCTGTACTGTCGAAGGCGTGCAGAAAATTTGATGTACATACTTCTATTTAAAAAATGTGTATCTCCTTGTTCTGTTAAGCTAGATCAAGATTATATATACTTTTGTGGGTCATTTACTCATTTACTACGTTGCACACCTTTAAGCCAAATTATATTGTAGTCCACATCCAATACATAAAAAGAGTGGAAGAGGAACGAGACTCTCTTCCGAACAGGACGGCAAGTGCATTTGAGGG